GAACAAGAAGAAGAAGAAGGACCTTTAGTTTTAGCAGTAACAAACATAAACACTCCCTATGCCACAAATATCTTTCCAAGCCATGAAGCCAAATCTGTTAACGTTTTCACTTGTCCATATATGCCCAATGCGACTGAGGTATATATATATATATATATATATATATATATATATATATATATATATATATATATATATATATATATATATATATATGTCGCTTGCCATCAAAACATAATAAGGTAAAAATAGACATAAATGAACACTATCATCATGTGAACATACGAATCGCCAATGCACATAAAGAACCACACATCTTCTACAATCAGTAAGGGAAAAACTAAACAGATTTAGGGCGGCAGCTGACAGCGCCTCATTCTTCTCCGCACGTCATCTGTGCAACACAGCTGACGCAACACGCAGCCGGTGCACTAGACTCGCGGAAGTAGACAGCATCCAGTCTGTGATTACCAGGCGGGTTTATAAATGGAACAAATGCGTCTACGTTGTGTAATCTTGACTGTATAAATAGAACCAGGGCTGTTTCAGCTGAAAACAAATACAATTTTTACCCCTGGATAGTTTTTTGTTTTGTTTTGCAGTATATGAACTTATTCCACCCGCTTTTGCTTCTACTAAACTGTGTGGACCAGATGTCTCCAGCAGGACCACCCCCTCCCCCTTTTTTGCGTAACTAATCTGCAAAATCAGTAGACGTTTACAAAAATTCTACAGGAAAGAGAGGTAACAAATCTGAAAATCAGTAGACGTTTACAAAAATTATACAGGAAAGAGATGTAACAAATCTGAAAATCAGTAGACGTACAGGAAGGAGAGGTAACAAATCTGAAAATCAGTAGACGTACAGGAAGGAGAGGTAACAAATCTGAAAATCAGTAGACGTACAGGAAAGAGAGGTAACAAATCTGAAAATCAGTAGACGTACAGGAAGGAGAGGTAACAAATCTGAAAATCAGTAGACGTACAGGAAGGAGAGGTAATAAATCTGAAAATCAGTAGACGTACAGGAAGGAGAGGTAACAAATCTGAAAATCAGTAGACGTACAGGAAGGAGAGGTAACAAATCTGAAAATCAGTAGACGTACAGGAAGGAGAGGTAACAAATCTGAAAATCAGTAGACGTACAGGAAGGAGAGGTAACAAATCTGAAAATCAGTAGACGTACAGGAAGGAGGGGTAACAAATCTGAAAATCAGTAGACGTACAGGAAGGAGAGGTAACAAATCTGAAAATCAGTAGACGTACAGGAAGGAGAGGTAACAAATCTGAAAATCAGTAGACGTACAGGAAGGAGAGGTAACAAATCTGAAAATCAGTAGACGTAGAGGAAGGAGAGGTAACAAATCTGAAAATCAGTAGACGTACAGGAAGGAGAGGTAACAAATCTGAAAATCAGTAGACGTAGAGGAAGGAGAGGTAACAAATCTGAAAATCAGTAGACGTACAGGAAGGAGAGGTAACAAATCTGAAAATCAGTAGACGTACAGGAAGGAGAGGTAACAAATCTGAAAATCAGTAGACGTACAGGAAGGAGAGGTAACAAATCTGAAAATCAGTAGACGTACAGGAAGGAGAGGTAACAAATCTGAAAATCAGTAGACGTACAGGAAGGAGAGGTAACAAATCTGAAAATCAGTAGACGTTTACAAAAATTCTACAGGAAGGAGAGAAAAATATTCTAATGAAATGCTGCTTGAATTAATTTCCTTCCATGGCATGCTTCCCCCCCCCCCCCCACACACACACATCGTTCGGTGAATATTCCGTTCATTTCTCTTTTTGTCTTGATCTTCTCGAACCTTGCAGTGTAGAGGTGTAAGTTTTATATAAATTACAGGCGGTGCCGTTTTTTGGGGCGTTCTTACTTCCCCCAAATATGGGACGCAATTTATTTGTTATTTTAAAGATATTATCTAATGGTTGAACGGGTTTCTGGGACTTGTACCAGGGATGACTCTCATCCGAATGGTGGCAGTTTGTACCACCGAGGGTGTATCACTCGGTGTGCGTCCTGGTCTGGTTGAACGTTTCTCACTCATTCGTTTGTGCGCGTTTATGAACTCCTATCTTCACGTTGCCTGCAGGCTTCATAGTAACCGCAGTGATGCGTATGATAACTGCGGTTGAACGGGGTTTCTATGATTTGCTGCGGTTTGATTCTCATCCTCCCCTTATTTTTGACAGCAAAAAAGGAATAGACCCACTGCCCTCTAATAAGCATGTCGTAAAAGGCGTCTAATTAGCGGTGTTTGCTTTGAAGTCGAAGTGCGTCTGCCTGAGAGGCTAGAAACTAATAGACACTAGACAGGAGCACTGTTTTTTGCTTCTGCTGGACGGTGGCCGATGTATTTTTGCTCCATTTGTAGACTGGATATAGTTTCGTCCCCCAGCTTCTGAGTTGAATGCATGGCTTGATACGGTGAGCTGCAGATTTCATTTCCAATGTTTTTTTCGACTGTAACCAACGCTGGGGTGTGAATTGTAGATTCAGAAAATGGCGCGATGCCTGTCATGGCAATGTTGGTGGTGCCCGTATGTGATTAAAATTGATCGCGTAGGCAACTGCTGATCTGTTGGTGACTTCTGCTACCATCAGTGATGAACTGCATTTCTAATGTCGGGCTGTTTGTGTTAGCACATCAGATGGCTACTGTATGCTTTAATGCATGTGTATGCTAGATATGCTGAGACAGCAGTCTGTCAATCTTTCCACAAGGGACTGTGATAAACATTCTGTGTGTTTTTCGTTGGAGCGGAGCAAAGATTGGGTGACCTGTTTGCTATGAAGCTAAAACTTAGACTAGCAGACCAGACTAGGCTACGTATAAGTAAACATGATCTATTAAACAGATGTGCACGCATAACTTAAGTTATAGAAAAGAACCAAAGTCCAGAAGTTGACGAACAACCAGAACTTGTCCACAAGGGTTTACTACAGGTTAACGCCAAGAAGAAAAAAAAGACACCTAAATAATTCAGTCAAAGGTAAACTGGTGCACTGATTATGTTGGGGTTTTCAGTTAAAGCCGGTGTCAGAAACTAGCAATAAACTGATGTGACTATCAGCAGGTTACACTGTCTGTGCAACAGTGATATTACCTGTCGGGTGACCAAAGGGCGTTCGTTTCTCGGTGTCTTACCTGAGATTAGGTACCTACCGCTCAGAGGGTATTCTCCAGGTCAGATCCGCAATCTGATAGAAAACATCCGCATTACAAACATATATTAGGTTTTTTTTTAAAGCTTTTGTATCCTTGTTGTTTGCGACTGATTTGCTACAAGCGTGATGAAGTAGTTACCTCTTATTGAAACACTGTGTATTTACTCTTTCGGTCCCAGGCAACATCTGGTAGGAAAATGACTTCCTAACTTCTTCTGCTGCCTTTCTAACCCATATTGGAGCATAGGCCCTCAAACAGCTCACGCGAATACGGTTATCCTTTGCTATCGCATGCTGCTTCTCCCCCCCCCTCCCCCTTCCCATTTCCTCCTCATCTTTTAACTTCACACTTTATCTTCCTTCTTCGTGTGTTTTTTGGGTTCTTCCTTTATATCTCTGCCTCTGTGGGTTCCTCTTGCAAAGATATTCTAGTTATGTTGTTCTCACGTTTTCTCAACATGTGTCTTATTCAACACTAGCGTCTTTTCTTCACCTCTTGGTCCACTGGAACTTGTTTTTTTTTTTCTTTCTCTAAAGCTCCACATTAGTGATTCTATCATACTATTTAATTCCCTCTATTCTGCGCAGGCACCAGTTAATGAATGTTTGTAGTTTATTGCTAAATGCCTTAGTTATTCTTCTTATATCACTCGACAGATTTTCAAATTGAATTAGGTTGATCCGAGAGCCGACAATACAGCATTCATCGCATTCACATAAGCGCTCCGTCCCATCTTCAGCAGTTGATGCAGAGTTTCAGTACTAATGGTACCAGTAGCATTCTGATTACGTGTTGCCTTTCCTTTGAGTGTCCAGCGTCGACCTGATCCCTTCGTCAATTCTCGTTGCATCACTTTCACCACACTGTGGTGATCACTTTGCTGTTGCCAATTGTACATGTGCTCCCATAAGGCCCAGACAACGTCTGCCTTACGCATCAGTACCCCACTTCCATATCGTTATGTAAAGTTAAGCAAGGAAAGCTCCCTTTTCCACGCCTTGAGGCCATATAGAGCTAGACCTCTATTTTTATAGACCAATCAGCACAAGATGGGTGGTGTGGTGAGCATCACGCCGGCTGCCTTTACTTTCCGGGACTGCACCCGGTAACCACTCAAGGCTAGGTCGACCAAGTCAGGGTCATTTTTTAAACAAGTCTGGCTTCGCCGGGGAGCGAACCCACGACCTTCCGATCATCGGCTAGCGTCTAGCCGCTACGCCACGGCGTCTCCCATAGCATAATGTGCTCTCATATATATATATATATATATATATATATATATATATATATATATATATATATATATATATATATATATATATATATATATTCATATATGTACTACTAGGAGTAGAAATGTCGGCTCTGTGGCTAAGTCGATGCGAACGCTTCCTAATATCGGAATGCCGGGTTCGATCCCAGCTGCGGGTCATCCGCCTTGCGTTGGTTTCGACAGTGGTATCAAGAAAGCCGACCGTCCAGAAGCAATGGCAAACTACAGGACGTAAATTTGCCTAGAAAAACCACACAACAGCCAGGGGTTGTTTGGGTTGGTTCTGCTACGTCTGTAAAGGATACGCAACTAACCAGTAGCAGCAGTAGCAGTTTAAACCTAATCAACCACTCTCGGAGGTAGTGAGACATGAAACTATGATCTTATACAAAAGGACCAAAAAGCATACAATGAATCGAGCAGCAAATTCCAGTCCTGGATGTCTGTCTAACGGTTTTTAAAATTCTTGTTTTGTACTAGGAAATATGCGATGATTGAGTGCTCTGGTATATTTATTGCTCTCAATCGTTCCTATCCACAGAGTCATGTTAGCTTGTGATTCAGGCTTGCAGCATCGCTTCACCGCTTCCACCAACTCATTCGCACGGCGTTTCAGGTGAGTCATAGGTATTTCATGTATTGTGCGAATTTTGTGTTTTGATAATTCCTCACTGAGCGAATGACTGGGGTTGAAGAGGGAAAAAAATAATACAAATTGATGATCAGTTTATCTCTTTATGTAGCAGTTTTATTTAGCAAAACAATCGAGATAAATTATGATACGCATGCCAACATCACATTTTTTTATACACTAGTGGTCTCTAACCTGGGGAGAGGGGGAGGCGTAAGGCTTCAAAAAGGGGCGTGGGCGTTAAGCAGCTTTGAACTTGAGTGCATTTGAATATGCCATAATTCATCATAGTTTAAAAAAAATTGTGTTTTCCTTTACTGTAATTATTAAATAAACTATTTTAAAAACTATTTGAGGACGCATTGTGTGTGTGTGTGTAATGAATAGTTTGTGCATGTACCGTTAAAATGTAATTAATGCGATAGCACATGCAAGTAATTATAGATTTAGAACAAATTCTGACTAAAACCTATCTATGGGTGTCTTGTTGCAGAATCTACTATCCCCTTTTTAATCACATTTTGTTTTGTTGGGGCGGGGAGGTGGAAAAGGAGGGGTAGGCTTGCAATATACTCACAGTGGGGGCGGGGGGGGGGGGGGTGGATTTGGGGTTTTGTCATATATTCATGGGGGCGTGGGGTCTTGTCATTAGCCACGGGCATGACATGATATATATGAACGTTGATGAAAGAGCCTAAAGATGCTGCACTGAACGTGGTGACAGTGGTGCAATGGGACTTTCAAACACCAAGCTTGGGCAGTATGTACAGTGAACACCAGGGCAATGCAAAACCCATATCTTACCCCCCCCCCCCCCCCCCCCCCCCCCCACGAACCAGGTTCTCCCCCTCCCTTTTACCTACCCAGGAGTATGGAAGACGAACAACTTTAAGGCAATGGCTTAAAAAAGAGGTGTGTGGGCTGTCCGGAGTGTTATCGGAGACGAAAGGGGGGGGGGGGGGGGGCAGAACAAAATCACACATACACACACACACACATACGCACGCGTGCACGCACGCAAGCACGCACGCAAGCACGCACACACACACACACAGAGTATATGTTAAAAAAAGGGGTCACAGCAAATTTTTTGCACTGGGGAACCAAGTGACCTTGCTATGCCATTGCTAAGATGGAAGGGATCCGAGTTTAGAACATCGTATCAATAAGCAAGTTCATGATCACTATTCACCAGAAAAGTGGCGCTTCGTGCATGCTGTGGCAGACCCATATTGTGAAAGCCGGTCGGGAAGATTGGTGATGGGATCAAAACCTGTCGCCTTTGCTTCCAAATTTCCTGGAACCCATATTTGTCTTTATGACCCTGAGAGCTGAGGTTTTTATTAGTTACTTAGACAAGGTTAAAACTATTGTCGGGATTAGAAACAAAAGAAGACTGCTTTATTTTCCACCTAAAGCAAAGAACAATGACTTGGATTCTCCGAACTATGTATTAAGCCGCTCCATTAGCCGATAAATAACCCAAGTGGGTGTTCATTGTAATATCTTTATAATAGTTTACAAACACAAGTTAACATCATTAAATTTTCTCTCGTGTGGTAGTGGGAGTGTAAAATGCTATTAACACATAGTATTGTATCGAGGGACAACAGAGAGTTTGCATAAGTCTAACAAGTTACCCGGGAAATCTGCATATATAACTAAGGATGGTCCGTAAAGAATTCACACAAGAACAAGGATGGCTCAGATAATTAACTTGGACATTTTCCCAGCTAACAGGCAAATATCGCCAGCATTTAATTTGCATATAGTGTATCTCAACTTTACTAAACCAAAACACTTACTGGCCCATGTAAACAAAATATTAGTAACCACAGAATGTTGTTTGGGGTTATGAGTTGAGTTGAGTCAATAATTAAAATCACAGCACTCGGGGCATTCCCATTTGTGCCCCGTCCTTATCTTCAGCAGCCAGCGCAGAGTTCCACTACTGATGGTACCGGTCATAATCTGGTAATATGTCTTCTCTCACCATTTCCTCTATTTCTCCTCTTGACTCTCTCTTTGCTGCTCGCTGAAGATGACGTCAAGCGCAGAGCACATGCTCCGTAGCGCTGGCGACAATTCATATAAAATAAAAAATCCATCTGAAAAAAAAAAAAAAAAAAAATTATTATGAAAAGTAAAGCAACATATTTTAAACCACTAGCGTTAGGCATAGAGGACAAAACCCATATTTCTATAGACCAGTCAACATCGCGCTAGCCGCCTTTGCTTTCCTTAAAGGTCACCGAACCAATTTTAACAGCCGACCCACGACCAGTAAGTACAGTTAGGAGCGCCGGTTCGCAGCAAACAGCGCTGCTCTGTTACCTGCGTAATTGTCGGCACATATTTGTTGTATGTAGGGCGTTATTACGTAAACAACGCAATCTAGGTCTCAGTGCCTTCCCCGTACTCGCCGTCCGGGCCACTTCAGATATTATGCAAGGATATACCCCCCCCCCCCTCCCCTTTCCAACTTGCTCCGTTTAAACATACACACGCATGACACATAAAACTTGTTTACTTAATGCGTCTGTTTGCAAGTTGTATCATGTATTAGCCGGCTTCTGCCTCAGCGTGTGTCAGTTGATCAACTTGTTTACTTGTAACGTAAAATCTCGTTGGTCTGTGTTTGTTGCTCGGTGGAGGCGGATTTCTGCAGGCTGTTGAAAACCGATAACAGTTACTACGAATGTTTTTAAATTGCGCGTGCACCTTTGTGCGCACGTCTGTTTGTCATGCGCGCGTATTTCTGTGAGAGTGTGTGTGTGTGTGTGTCTGTGTGTCTGTGTGTGTTTGTATCCGTGTGTCTGAGTGAGTGCGTGCGTGCGCATGCATGCATATGTGTGTATGTCTAGAGAACGCTGACACAAAGAAAACATACTCAGCTCTTTCTCTCTCCCCCCCCCCCCCACTTTGATAAATCATTGTGACAAAGCGCTCAATGAGCAGTATCCTAGTTTACGTGAATAATAGGAATAATAATAAACTACTGAATGAAAAACATAATAGTTTATTTAAAATAAAATTAAATGTAAAGGACCCTTTTCCACGCCTTCTGACGTTTTAGGCATATAGGGCTAGACCTATAATATACAGACAAATCGGCACTCGATGGGTGATGTAGTCAACATTGCACAAGCCGCCTTTATTTCCCAGGACTTTTTCGATGTACCTAATCAAGACTAGGTCGACCTAGGAGCTAAAATCATTGTTGAAAAAAGTCCGGCTCCATCAAGACTTGAACCCATGATCATCAGATCCATAGGCTAGGGATTGCCTACAGCACGACAGCTGCCCTAAAAACAAAAAAGACATATTTAGAATCAAATATAAATTATGTGCATGTTAGGGTGGGGTAAGAGAAATTTGAAAGAATGCCTCATTGCTTCATTCTGATTTGAAAGAATGGTTGCACTTTAGATTGTCTGGTCTATGATGCTGGTGCAGATCTGTTTGTGTCTATACTTACCATAGGGCCGTCTCATAACAGTGTTTCCCTGTTGTAAGTTTGAACAAACTGAAGACACCAACAGCTGATTTGCACCTGCTCAGGGGCCGTGTTAGCACAGTCCATAAATGCTCGCTTTCGAATCCAGCTGCGACTCGCTGCAGCCCACGGTCTGTGTTCGAAACCGGACGGCTCCCGGGATTCACCCAGCCTCTAGGAAATGGGTACAAGGGTTGACACTCTGGGGTAAATGGAGGAACGTCGCTGTAGCTACAGAGTTAGTGCGAACGACGACACAGGTGGACAGTTCTTATCAGCTGTCCGTACTGGTGGCAGAAGCACTTATGGTTTACAACCGTGTGAAATGATGCTGGTTCACATCTCCCGACTTTACCTTTACCTTTGCACCTGATCAGACACAGCAAAAAAAAAAAAAAAAAAACATCAATAAATAGATTGTGCAATTCATTATTTATGTCTTCTTTGTTTAAATGTTTAACGGGAAAAAACATGACTTTGGCATACGCTAATTGAAAATACAAGACAGTAATACAGATATCAAACTTAAAATACAAAATATTTTGACAAAAACTAATTCGTATTTTTCTGTCGATGCAAAAGGTCGAGCGAAAGACGTAATACGAAGATTAAAGATGTGTCAATAATTGCTATCACGACTGTCAAATTTGGTTTCTTACGTAACCGGTGATTGCGTGATTGATTTTCCGTTTCTTGTTTATTCATTGTGGCTTTGAGACGGTTAGTGTTGCAGAGTGGAGTTTTGCTTGTTTGTTTGTTTATCCCAATGGTCTCCAGGGCCGTGTCCTGTTATGATCCAGAGAAGCGGCCGTATCTGGCGGCACCGTAAGTGGGGCGGTATAGGCAGTGAAATCCAAATACAAATAGAATGTAGGATCTGACAGCGCTAAGCCATTAAGGGCAGAATTTCGAAGCAATGCTTCACGCCAGCCAGGAAGATTGGTGATAGGGTCAAAACTACACCTGTCGCCTTTGCTTCCAAAGACATTTCCTGGTACCCATATTAGGCTTGGTGACACCGAGTTAGCCTCATAAAGTTACTGCTAGAGTTTGAGATAGTTCTAGAAAATTAGGCGGGAAGAAAGATGTAACGGACCTCTTCATTTTGGTTCGCAAACCCCATTGCTGTCTCCGGACAGCCAAATAGGAAACACTGCACTATAGAATGTGGACAATCCCCATTCTTTGGGTGTGTCTTGGGAGTCTAGAGTACGTTATGGATGTGTCTCTGTGTACACTGGAGTACGTCGTGGTCGTGTCCCTCGGTGCTGAGTAAAGTTCTTTCGGGTTTCGCTGAGAGTATGAGCTGTAGATATATGATTCGTGTTCCTTACGACACCCAGAGCTCTGATTTGAGACGTGTCCCTTGGAGTATTGGAGTAGGTCATGTCCACGCTCTGACCTGTGCCATCAGTATTGGAACTCAGCGATGGCTGCTAAAGATGAGGACGGAGCATGCGTGGGAATGCTCCGAGTGCTGATAACAATT